CTGCTATATACCTTAGATCTAAAATGGCTGCTTCTGCCGTTTTGCACACACGTTTTCAGTACTCAGCATTTGGGTCGGACACAGAGCAGTTGTTTGTCCCTCCATGGCTTGACAAGCTTCTTCTCTACTCACTGATTCTTTGATCTGTTATTCTCTCACCTTGCTGCAATTAGAAACTGTACAACTGAGCGCCTTACTTTTTTATATACTTTGTTTTCTTTACTTCTTATTTTCGGTAGTGGTGAAATGCATAGCAAATTTACCATGTTACTTCTTTTTTCATTTTTCTCCTGAAGACAGGGTCTGTGTGCGTACCATCTGGCCAGCTAGGACTACAGGTCTACATCACCATGCTGGCTCTTTTTCAGACAAGGTCTTGCTCTGCTGTAGACTCCAGCTCTGAGTCCGCCTGCCTCAGCCTCCCCTGTGGCTGGAACTGCAAATGTGTGTGCACCCGGGCTGAGAATGCAACCAGGGCTTCCCGTCTGGTTTCTGCAGGGGAGCACAGCATCTTAGCAGCAGGTGGCTGTGCAGAGCCCGCATTAGCCATTTTAGGGTACATTTCAGTGGGCTCCAGCTCCTCACTTCATAAGCCAAGGCCCCCTCTTATTTATTTTAAGGGGTGCAGTCGGATAGGTTTTGAGCTCCTTGCTTGTAAGCAGAAGCCTCTTGTTCATTTTCAGGGTGCAGTTCAGTGGGCTCTGAGCCCCTCACTTTGTAAGCGGAAGCCTCTTGTTCATTGTAGGGGTGCATTTCAGTAGCTCAAGCTCCTCACTTCCTAAGCAGAAGCCTCCTGTCGTTCATTTCTTGGGGTGCAGTTTAGCAGGCTCTGAACTCCTTCCTTTGTAACTGAAGCCTCACCTTGTTCATTTTTAGGGGCAGAGTTCGGTAGGCTCTGAGCTCCTCGCTTCGTAGCTTCGTAGCCCGAAACCTCTGGTTCATTTTTAGGAGTGCAGTCCGGTAGGCTCTGCACTCCTGGCTTTGGAGGCCGAGGCCTTCTGCTCTCACAAGTAACTTCCTGTTCTGTGTGCTTGGTTGCAGAGCTCCAAGATGGGTGGCAAGCTCAGCAAGAAGAAGAAGGGCTACAATGTGAACGACGAGAAGGCCAAGGACAAAGACAAGAAGGCTGAGGGCGCGGGCACAGAGGAAGAGGGGACCCCGAAGGAGAACGAAGCCCAGGCGGCCGCCGACACCACCGAGACCAAGGAGAGCAAGGACGAGAAGCCGGAGAAGGAGGCCGCAGACGCCGAGACCAAGACCGAAGACAAGGAAGGCGAGAAAGACGCCGCCGCGGCCAAGGAGGAGGCCCCCAAGGCGGAGCCCGAGAAGACCGAGGCAGCGGCCGAGGCCAAGCCCGAGGCTCCCAAGGCCCCCGAGCAGGAGCAAGCGGCCGCGCCCGGCCCCGCTGCGGGCGGCGAGGCCCCCAGAGCGCCCGAGGCCGCCCAGGCGGGAAGTCTACTTCTTTCTCCAAGGAGACCCTGGCGGCCATGGAAGCCCCTAGTTCTACACCGAAGGCCCAGGCCCCTGCAGCCCCTGCAGAGGAGCTCAAACCCACCGAGGCCCCGGCAGCTAATTCCGATCAAACCGTCGCAGTGAAAGAGTAACGAGGACAGCCTATGGAAACATAATACCACTTACAAAGCAACCTTCTCTCCTTCCTCTCTCTCTTTCTCCTCTCTCTCTCTCTCTGTCCTATACTAACTTGTTTCAAATTGGAAGTAACGATATGTATTGCCCAAGGAAAATAAAAAGGATGTTGTCCCATCAAGGGAGGGAGGGGGTGGGGAGAATCCAAATAGTATTTTTGTGGGGAAATATCTAATATACCTTCAGTCAACTTTACCAGTAAGTCCTGGATTTTAAGGAGCAGTGTCTGAAAGTCCAGCACCTCGTTTGTACCTGGATCGCTGTCACACGCGCCCCGCCACTAAGATCCGAATGAATCCCTTTTCTTCTGCTGTGGGGGTTGGGAGCGATGCGTTTGATTCTGCCCACAGGGCCTGTGCCAAGGCAATCAGATCTTTATGAAAGCAGTATTTTCTGTGTTTTCTTTTTCATTTACAGCCTTTCTTATTTTGATATTTTTTTAATGTCGTGGATGAATGCCAACTTTCAGACAGAGCCCACTAAGCTTGTCCACACGTACCTTGATGCCAAGCCTCCATTCTTCCTCTCCAGAGATTTCTGGGAGTGACAAACATTCTCTCATCCTACTTAGCCTACCTAGATTTCTCATGACGAGTTAATGCATGTCCGTGGTTGGGTGCACCTGTAGTTCTGTTTATTGGTCAGTGGAAATGAAAAAAAAAAAAAAAAAGTCTGCGTTCATTGCAGTTCCAGTTTCTCTTCCATTCTGTGTCAGAGACACCAACACACCACTCATTGGAAAATGGAAAAAAAAAATAAATAAAAAACAAAAAAAATGTACAATGGATGCATTGAAATTATATGTAATTGTATAAATGGTGCAACAGTAATAAAGTTAAACAATTAAAATGAAGCAGTAAATGCTGTCGGTTTTCTTTTATCTCCCCCAAGTTCCCCATAGCTGTCTTATTAAAGAACAAACCATAGTAGTGGGCGTTTTGCTGAGGAGACTTGGATAGAGGTGTAAAGCAGGATCCTTGAATTTTAGTCACTGTTATCCTTTTTTTTTTTTTTTTTTTTTTTAGAAAAATAGCTGGATCAGGGCTGGCTCTGTGGTTAGTGGTTATGCACTGCTCAAGAGAAGCCTAATCCCTCATGGTGTCTGCAGTTCAAATTCCCAGCTTGGGGCCTCTGAACACCAGATGTGAATGAGTGCCCAAATCAAATAGGCTGGCAGGTGGAGGAAGGGAATTGCGGTGTGACCAGGCCCTGTGGAGAATGCCCTCTCGCTCGCTCGCTCGCTCTCTCTTTCTCTCTCTGTCTGTCCCTCCCTCTCTCATGTGTGCATACTCTGTTATGAATAAAGGAAAAAATTTAAAACAGCTGGCACAGTATCAGTAAATTTTCTGTGAGGAGGGTAAACTGAAAACATACTATGTCTAGAGATGTGCACCTTATAAACGTGTGGGTATAAAATTTACTTAAAAAAACATTTTGAATACAACACACTGAAAGACAGTACACAGATTTGATCTTGAAGGCTAGAAAGAAAAGAATTCTATGATCTTACAGAAACATCCTATATATATATAATAAATCATGAAATCATCAACGGTCATTCGCTTCCATCTCCCTCCTCCCCTTTTATTTCTTATTATGTTCATGGTAGAGCCAGGAAATGGGGCCTCAAGTGTTCTGAGTTAGTCACTAAGACAGCAGCTGAATTAAAGCAAACATAGAACTTGCCTTTATGGTGACTGGTTTTGCCACTAACAACTTCAATGATTTTAAGTCACTCCCAACCTCCGGCTTTACCTACAAGAGGGACTAGACTTTTGGACTATTTTTTTTTTTAGAGAGATTTTTGTTATAGGGCTTAGGCACTTGCTGGAGAGACAAAGACAGAAAGCAAGATATCCTCCCCCCCCCCGGGGGAGGCGCCAGGGAGAATGGCCACACCACAATCCTTTCTCCATTCTCTTCTTGGGATTTTGGGCATACACACACACGCACGCACACACACACACACACACACACGTGTGGGTTGAGTTTTAATCTGCCGGGTCCAGGACTCAAACCTCAGTTGACTACATGGGAGTCCAACAACATGATCATTTACACCATCCACTGGCCCCTATCACTTTTTGACTTCTGAACTACTTAGTAGTTTGTCAACTGCCTGGTGACAGTTTTATATTGGGTTGTTCGAAAAATCATGATGCATTTTTGCACAGAAAAACAGAAAAATACATCATAACTTTTCCAACAACAAAATACGATGAAGGGAAGGTCTGCACCAACAGGTATAATGTCTCCTAGATCCTTAATTTCTTCCCCCAAAGCTTGAATAGTGATGACCAGGCTGCTGATGTTCCCTCTGCTGCAGGTGGAGAAGGGGTTGGAGAGTTGGTGGAGGCAGTGACTTTCATGGAATGCCTAGGCATGCATCAACTTTTGAATGCAAGAGAAGAAGAAATTGTCTCTTTGTTCTCTTGGTAATAATTTGGGTATCTTCTAGTCAGAAAATAGACACTGAGTTTTGAGTAGAGGAACATATACTTAAAATACCTTAACCCTGGGCAGCCACTACTAAGATGTCTCATGCTTAAATCCATTGAATGTCAGCTTCGGGAGGGAAAGTAGTCTAGTGGTAATTACCCAGAGTGATTAATAATAATTTCATACTTTAGAAAACTCTAACATAGGGGGTTCCCTGTGGCCCTCATGACGGCCAACGTAACGGAATCAGTTTTCAGAGGGACAACAGGGATACAGAAGATAAGAATGAACCTGGTTCTATCCTAATGAATTGCATTACACATGATTAAATATAAAAGGAGGGGGGCAATCTCCAATTATCTTCTGAGTAGACCATAATCCGTGCCACACTTGAGGTGTTGCCAGTGGTAATATCTGTGAAAGAAAGAAGAAATGGTGAAAGGGAGTGTTAAGCAAATATTGTCAGAGTTGGGCTCAACACATAATCTATAATCATCTTTTGGCACTTTTGGTTCTTGTTTCTGGAGTGAAATAAATATGAATTCTTAATGCTTGAAAGCACAGTGTGCAAGAAATATGTAAACACATTAACCACCAAGCAACTCTTTTAGGTAAAAAAAACCAGCAGGGGAATGTCCAGACTATTAATGATGTGTTTTAGCATAAACTATACAAAATAGCTAGGCAGTAGGATGGTGGGGTGGGGGGATTACAGATTCAATGAACCATGGGGGACATTTATGTAGTCAGCAATATCATGCTATGCATTTCTTGCAGAAAATGTACTTGGTAGGAGTCATATGTTATATATTGGCTATCTTCCCCCACTCACCTTTTAATTGAAAAAAATTACACCTTTGATTATTAGAATGATCAAATCAGTCTCTCGAATTGTCATTTATTACTATAATGTGCAACTTAGGGATAAATGGACTTATGAGACATAGGAGACATTTTTCTCAGTTCATTTGGACTTAAGAGGTGTTGGATGAGACAGAGGGAAATGTATGTGTGTGTATTTCCCCCTAATTTTTATTAGATGTTTGAAAAATTAAAAAGAGTATCAAAAATATCAACAAAATATCTAAATCAAAATTTGAATCTAACAATGGTTCAAGAGATTTAATCTTACCATACTTACTTAAAAAAAAAGTTAAGATGTTTAAAATGGTATATTCAGCAG